GCGGGTTTGAGCCCCTTGTCGGGCTCTGTGCTAACAGCTCAGAGCTTGGAGCCTGCTTTGGTTTTGTCTCTCCCTCTCTCTCTCTCTGTCCCTCCCCTGCTTGCTCTCTGTCTCTCTGTCTCTCTTTCAAAAATAAACATTAAAAAAAATTTTTTTAAGTTATTGAAGACTTCACAGAGCTTTGGTTATATAGATTTTTATCTATTTCCATTTATTATGTTAGAAAAAGCCAAGAATATGTAAAATTAAATACTCATTTAGAAAATCCATTGTATGTTAATATAAGTATTTATATTTTATTTATTTATTTTGAGAGAGAGAGAGGGAGGGAGGGAGAAAGGGGCAGAGACAGGAAGAGAGAAAATCTCAAGCAGTCTCCACACTGTCATTGCAGAGCCCTGTGCTGGGCTCAAACTCATGAACTGTGAGATCGTGATCTGAGCTGAAGTCGGATGCTTAACCGACTGAGCTACTCAGGCACCCCAACATAAATATTTTATATGAAAAAATATTTAAAAAATATAATGGGAAGTATAGCATCTTTGCATTTTTATAAATCTCTTCAAGTGCCTGACTTAATAGAAGTTAGTTGTATTTTTATAGCTGCTTCTGCATTCAGTCTATGGAGGAGATAACTTGTTTTATATTAAGTATGAGAAAATGTGAAGTCACACAAATTCATGGTTGGAAAATGGAAGAGGGTGTTTAATAGCCTTTTAAGCTAATGATAGCCATTCTTCTTTGATACTAGGTTTCTTCTAGGTCACCTGCAATGTAAAATCTGAAACCATATCCAAGAACCTACCTTTCTTTTCTTTTCTTTTCTTTTCCTTTCCTTTCCTTTCCTTTCCTTTCCTTTCCTTTCCTTTCCTTTCCTTTCCTTTCCTTTCCTTTCCTTTCCTTTCCTTTCCTTTCCTTTCCTTTCCTTTCCTTTCCTTTCCTTTCCTTTCCTTTCCTTTCCTTTTCTTTTCTTTTCCAGTATTTTGTTTTTGAGAGAGAGACAGAGCATCAGTCAGGGAGGTGCAGAGAGAGAGGGAGACAATCTGAAGCAGGCTCTAGGGTCTGAGCTGTCCGCAAAGAGCCCAACACGGGCTTGAACTCAATCTTGAGTGGTTAAGATCATGACCTGAGCCAAAGTTGGACGCTTAACTGACTGAGCCACCCAGGTGCCCCTCCAAGAACTTTTCGTACTCTGTTATGTTAAAAAAAATCTATTGGTTTGTCTTGCATTTGGAATGGATCTTATACTCATGCATGATTTTGCAACATCACTGGTCATTTGGAAAACAGTGAGTTATACAGATCTTCTGGATATTGATACTTTTCATTATATAGTATCAAAACAGTAATATTTATATCACTAGTAAACTCACTAAACTTTAGTAAGTTTGTCAAGCTCAACAGGGGCACATTCAGGATTTCCAAAATTCTGATTTTTCTCCTGAAAGCCCACAGTAAAGCATCAGGCTCACTACTTCATTTTCAAGAAATAACCATGGTTTGTCTGTCAGTCATGGTTAAAGTGGTGTGCCATGAAAAAAGTGGCTAATTCATTTCACAGTTCAGTTTTTTAAGCATTGTTCTTTGGTGTGCAGAAGTGTTTTTTTGTCGTTTTTGATTTTTTTGCAGAGTATGAAAAAGACTGTATACAGATTGAAATTTAATGAAACCAATAATTACTGCTTCATCAGTTGTATTCTTAGCTAAAACGTTGTTACTGTGAGAGGTGGTGATAATAAAGGGTATAGTGACTACTAATACAGTTCGGTCCCACTGTATGAAACTTTGTAAGACACCAGCAGATTCACTGCACCATTGCTTTTGTACCATTAGTATAGATGTTAACAGTGAAAAGTAAAAGAATGCCTTAGCATTATTATGAAGATAGTTTTTACTTATCACATCTTCTGATAAGGGTCTGGGGGTCCCCTAAGTGTCTTGCAAACCACATTTTGATAACTGATTTAAATGATCCCTTGTTGAAGGCACGTAAGATGTTTCCAAATTTTCCAGTATTAAGAACATTCTTGTACAACGTTTTTGCCTAGTCATCTAATTATTAGGATAAATTTTTGCATGTTTAATGGCTGAGTGCAGTAAAAAAGACAAAAAGACAATTTTGGTATCATGTTTAATTGAGATATAATTGACCTATTATATTAGTTTCAGGTGTAGCACATAACTCAGTATTTATGCATATTGTGAAATGATCACTATAGAAAGTGTACTTAACATCTGCCATGATAGAGTTACAAAGTTTTTTTCCTTGTGATGAGAACTTTTATTGTTTCTTAGCAACTTTCATACACATAATACATTGTTGTTAACTGTAGTCACCATGTTGTATGTTACATAGTTAGGAGTTATTTATTTTATAACTGGAAGTTTGTTACCTTTTGACTGCTTTCACCCTTTTTCACCCTACCCCTACTTCTAGCAACCAGTCTGTTCTCTGTGTCTATGAGGCTGGTTTTTTGTTTTTTAAGATTCCACATATAAATGAGATCATATGGCATTTGTCTTATTTCTTTGTTTCACTTAGTTAGCATAATGCCCTCAAGGTCCATTCAGTGTTGCAAATGACAAGATTTCTTCCTTTTTTTGGGGGGGGTGGGTGGGCGAATAAATATCCATGGCGTACGTACAACACTTATTTTATCCATTCATTCTTTGATCGACGCTGACGTTGTTTGCACATCTTGACTTTGTAAGTAATGCTGCATGAACATGAGAGTGCATATATTTTTTTTGAGTTAGTGTTTTCATTTTATTCCGATAAATAACCCAGAAGTAGAATTGCTAGATGATATGGTAGTTCAGTTTTTAATTTTTTGAGGAAAGATTGAATTAATTTTGGAAGACCAAAGTATAGTACTTGACCTTACATTTATGTTTAATAATTTTTATGCCTTTCCTTTTTTCTTTTTTATCCTCCTTGATAGTGGGTTGGCAAATTCAAATTATCAAGTGGATGTTGAAATGCATCTCATTTTTATGTCAGATTATCCAAACATTAATCATGGAGTTATGAAATATATATAAATGTATCTGTTTGGAAACCTATCTTTTGGTAACATTTTTGTCAATGAGAAAATAAAATTCTCCTTTGAGTTACCTTAGGTATAGTAATTCAGACAATATAATTGTACTAAAGATGTTATCTTGGGATATTTAATTATAACTTTGATATGACAGGAGTTTATCTTCCAGGTATTAGAATAAACTTTTAACAGGTATATACAGATATGGAGAAACTAGTATACATTATTTCAGAATATATCTATGGTAGCATTACTCAATGAATCTCTTTATTTTGTTATTTTCCTATTGGTGTGTTTGAGTAAACAGAATTTATTAATAGTTTCCCCTCTTTTTTAGAAGTCCCATTATCCCCTCTTGGCTAATACCTTTTCATTTCTCTAAAGATCCAGCTTTCTTGTCCCTACTTTCCTTTCTGGTTAAGTACTTCCACTCTTTTTTCTTGAGTAACTGCTTGATATCTTGGTTATAGCACTTAGCACACTGTAATTGTCTCTCTACTACATTTCTGTGAATTACTCTGCGGGATGAGCCTCAATGGGTCTGTAAAGTATAGCAGAGAATCTGTTATGAAGTAGGTATAAAATACATACTTTAAAAATGAAAGAAAACTCATTTTTTGCCAGTGTAATCTACCATTTAAAATTATTCTTAAAACAAATTTTTAATTGTGTTAGAATACACATACCATAAAATTTACCATCTTAACCGTTTTCATCTTACATAACTAAAACTCTGTACTCATTAAATAATTGTGCATTCCCTTTCCTTGTAGCCCCTGCCATTCTACTTTCTGCCTCTGTGAGTTTCATTACTTTAGGTACCTAATTCAAGTAGAATCATGTTTTGTCTTTTTTGATTGACTTATTTCACTTAATGTCCTCAAGGTTCATTCTCAGAATTTCCTTTTTAAGTCTGATAAGTATTCTACTGTATGTTTGTTTATACCACATTTTGTTTATCTGTTCATCTGTTAGTGAACATTTGGGTTGCTTCCGCCCTTTGGCTATTGTGAAGAATGCTGCTAGGAATGTGAGTGTAATAAAACTACCATTTTTTTTTAACGCTGACTTTTTACTTGTAGATGGGCACTCTGGTTTTTTAAAAATGATAAAAGCAAAACTTGGCAAGCAAACCTTCGGCTGATCTCTAAGTTTGATACTGTTGAAGACTTTTGGGCGTAAGTAACCATTTTAGAATGTTTATTTTATGAATTGTGTAATTTTTCATTTTAAATCACTCATAAAATGAAGGGACGGTGAATAGTTAATAAATATTCATCTGTAGACCTACCTTTTTGTTTTTCCATCTCCTCACAACTGTTTATTTCTCATCATTTAGAAAGCTTCAGTCTCATCATCCTTTAGCCCTGTGTATATTCTTTATTCCTTGTCCCAAAAGATTCTTCTTTTGAAAGTCCTTTATTGCTTCTAGAACTTTGACAGTTTGTTGGAACATGTCCTTTTCTTGGTTGCCTAGATACATCTGTCCTATACTCCAGAGCTTTGTTAGGTTCCCATTTGTGCAAATTCTTTTTGGTATAACATCTGGGATTTCCTGTAGTAAGGATTCTGAGATTTAAAAAACTGAAGTCCTCAAAATTCAGGTTTGTCCAAGTGTCTTTGATGTTAGTTGATCAACTTCAAGAAGAATAGTTGAAATACCTTTGAGATTTTGTTTCAGATTTAGCAAAAAGTTCAGATTTGGGGGTCAAACCTTTGCTTGACTCAGTATAAAATTGTAAAGTCTTTTCAAGACATTTTATAATATTGATTCTTTAAAACAAAGTTAATTTAGTATGTAATTTTATTTGGAAAGTAATTTCCATTTCAAAGATAAAACTTGTTTAAAAAGATTTTTAAGAGCTGTAAATTAACTAGCAGTTACCTAAAAATTCGAATTTGTACATCTGGTATATTTTTAGATCATGTATCTGTATTGAATCAATGAGCAGCTCTTCTGTATTAACATAACCGTATGCCTGAGTATATTTTGCCCACACTAAGAACAGATTGTCAGAAGATTCATATATGTATACTTCCTCCAGGACAGAAACAATATTCTTTTGTATCTTTCCAGTGCTTTGCCCATAATAGATATTTAGTATACGTTTGAATCACTGAGGAAAAAAAGCATAGAATAATTAGAGAAAACTGTAAAATTGTGAAGTAGGCAAGTAGGCACTTTAAGAGTGGTCACTTCAGGGGCGCCTGGGTGGCGCAGTCGGTTAAGCGTCCGACTTCAGCCAGGTCACGATCTCGCGGTCCGGGAGTTTGAGCCCCGCGTCAGGCTCTGGGCTGATGGCTCAGAGCCTGGAGCCTGTTTCCGATTCTGTGCCTCCCTCTCTCTCTGCCCCTCCCCCGTTCATGCTCTGTCTCTCTCTGTCCCAAAAATAAATAAACGTTGAAAAAAAAATTAAAAAAAAAAAAAATAAAAAAAATAAAAAAAAAAAGAGTGGTCACTTCATATTGCAATCATTGACTTTTTTTTTTTTAAGTAATGAAACTATATTTAAATCCCCAGTTATTCATAGATCTGGTTGTCTAGTTAAACTAGGGTTATTTTGCCCTTCATCAAAACATCAGATGATTTTTTTTCCCCTTAATTGTATTTGAGTCTTCTAAAAACCAAGTCTCCTATGGAGGAGGAAGAGCAAGAGTCTTGAACCATTTCCCCCATGGAATCAGAGCTGCGTTTATTTAGTTTGGTTAGCTTTCACCATTGTACATAATTAGGTTTCTAAGTGGGCCTCTAATTTAGAATATGGCTGCACACTTTAGTTATGTGTAAGCAATGTCATTGCATAGTGGACTTTTATAGTGTAATTTAGACATATGAAGGAATCCTTTAGCTTTCTGTGAATATCTAAGCACTTCTTAATTTCTCATTTTTTTCTGGCAGATGTAGTGGTAAACGACTGTTGAGCCCTTTGGGATTTATGCAGTTTTGTCTATAGTGTTCTGATTCTGTTTAGATTGTGTCATTACAAATTTTCATTACTGTAAACTTGCTAAGAGACCTTAGAGCATCATGAAGGAGAAAGGAGGCACATAAAGAAGCATTGGTCATATCTACCTTGAATGCCATTGAAGACAGCTACTCCACCCTGTCCATTAATTTTATAAAGTAGTGGTCCTAATTTTATAGTTACTGTTAGTATCCAGGCCTCTGTTGTTGCCTAGAGGGAGCTGCCAGTGATAATGTAGTTTGGGAAGAGTGACCGTTAAGTAGAGTAACTCGACAAACCTTATTCAGCCTTATGCTACCTTCCACCAAATTGAATTTATATATTACCCTGTGGAATATGATTCAAAGGATGCCAGAATCTTTCTTAAGACTACTTGAAGTATTTCTAGACTTGTTTAAAATAGCATCAAGAGAATCTGACTAAAGATAACAGCATTGTCCATGGTCTGCAGATGTAGTAAAGATCATATTTCTGCATCTGATATTGGAGACAGGCAAAGCATTCTTACTCTGCTGCCAATTTTATAACAATTTTGCTATAAGAAACTTTAGAAGACCAAATGATTTAGCCTTCTACCTTCAGGCTAGTGAGTATCTAAGTCATCTCAAGTGTTACTCTGTTACATTGATATTTTGAGAGAGAGAGAGTACATTTATTTATTTATTTTGAGAGAGAGTGCCAGTAGGGAAGGGGCAGAGAGAGAAGGAGAGAGAGAATCCCAAGCAGGCTCTGTGCTGTCAGTGCAGAGTCAGATGCGGGGCTTGAGCTCATGATCCGTGAAATCATAACCTGAGTTGAAACCAAGAGTCAGGCTTAAGCGACTGAGCCACTCAGGTGCCCCTCTACCCTATGTTTAAGGGATTAAAATCACAAGGAGTAGGTCCTGGAACTGTTGTTTTGTTTTGAAAGCTTCTCAAACGATTGCTATGCTGACTGACTAGTAATGATTGCGATATTTGAGACCCATTGGTCTGTTCTACTCTTGGATACCTTCATGGATATTAGTGTTATTTTATTTCAGTCATGCAGTCCTGATAGTTGGGAAGTGTATCTTGCTTTCTCTTGGTTTGTCTTATGTGCTGAAAAAAAATTTTTTTTACATTTATTTTTGAGAGAGAGAGACAGAACACAACTGGGGGAGGGGCATAGAGAGAAGGAGACAGAGAATCTGAGCTGTCAGCACAGAGCCAGACACAGGGCTCGAACTCATAAACTGTGAGATCATGACCTGAGCCGAGGTTGGACGCTTCACTGACTGAGCCACCCAGGCATCCTCTTATGTGTTTAAAACTACTTGTTAATAGCTCCATAAATTGTTTCACGTATTTAAAGCCACCTCATCCCACCTAGTCTCAGATTCTCATACATACATATGTATACGTTGAGTTAACTAATACATCAAAATATACTTTTGTCAAAATAAAATTAAAAATAGTGCCTTGAAAATCATCAAATGCTGATTCTTGAACTGACCATTATTAAGGTATCTCTTTGGTCCAGTTCAGAAATTGACTCAGTAGAAAAACGAGTAAACATAAACTTTTATCTTTTGATTTTTATCATATTCTCTAAATATGTGAGCACCTAAACTCTGCATTACATATTTTATGTTTATAATTGTCCTTTTGTTTTACCTAGTCTGTACAACCACATCCAGTTGTCTAGTAATTTAATGCCTGGCTGTGACTACTCACTTTTTAAGGTATGTTTAATTGGTGATTTCATATATTTTAAGACTGGACCATTCAGTTATTCATTAAGAACTCTTGTCAGAAACCTAGGAATAGTTAATGCTCTGAGGTTTTCTGAGGTTTGGAGAATAATTAAATTAGTTTTACTAGACTTTAGCATTAACCAATTTTGGCTTATTGCTATAAATAATTGAAATTGAGAGTCTGACTCTGGGTACACACTGTCGTTGATTTTTGCAGAGAGCTTTGATATCCAGTGTAGTCTCTTTATATATTTGAGTAGACCAAAGTAAGTCCAGAGTTTGTCAACAATTCTTAACTTGGGGTGCATTGGTCCTTGGGGTATTTATAAGTGGGTTCTGTCAAGTGGTAGGGGGGTTGGAGGGGCATTCATTAACTCTGAAATTGCATAATTTTTACATACATTTTTTAGGCATAGAAATGTATGTAATTTTTCAAAGTTATCTGTTACTCAGTGTTTAAGAACCTCCAAATTAAATGAAATCCAAGGTTTGATAGCTAGAAGTATCTAAGTCAAGTCTCTAATTCTCCAATCCCATGCTTCTGGCTTTAATTCTTGTATGCTTTTCCCCCCACTACATCAATAAGTTTTTATGGAGAATAAAGTAAAAAGTTGACAGAGTTGTTGCTTGCTCTTTCTAGTGATCTCTTCAGTTAAAGTAACAATTTTGTCTGATATTGTTATCTACTAACCTTTTAGGATGGTATTGAGCCTATGTGGGAAGATGAGAAAAACAAACGAGGAGGACGATGGTTAATTACATTGAACAAACAGCAGAGACGAAGTGATCTGGATCGCTTTTGGCTAGAGACAGTAAGGTTTTAAAATTATAAAGTAGTTTTGGCATATTAAAACTTACTTTGCATTGCATTTTACATTGATTACCTAATTGAAAAGATAAGAATGCCCACCCTGTAAAATCTAAGCCGGCAATTAATTTTGTTCTATCATGTGAATACTGTATATTTTACATACTGATACAGTGAAACCGTGTACCACATTACAGATCAGATAGAAAGTGATTGGCAGTTGACTCTCACCTTCCACAGTAAGCTCGTCCTGGTCATTTCATTAACTTCAAAATTATAGAGCCTCACATTTTGTATGATGTAAGTTTTTACAACTCTGTTAGAGTATTACTTTGTATACTAAATTTTTTATATCAGTGAAGCAAACAGTGAAATTGTAGCTTGGTATTATTCATCTTCTATATTATGATATAATCTGGAAATTTGGCTTTATAAGATGTAAATTAAATAAGAAATAATTGACATTTTGTATAGTGAGAAGTCCTAAACCCCAAGCTGTCAGGAATAAGGATGATAGTCTCTTGTGTATTTTCAGCATTCGGCACAGTGTCTTGCTTATAGTTAGCACTTACTAAATTAAGCAGTTAGTGAATATTTGAATGAATAGGAGGTTTTTTTTGGTAAATGGAGAGACTTAATTTTGCTTTTGGGGGAGATTATCAGTAAATACCATTTTAGAATTCCACGTTAAAGTTTTGTAAGATGACAAAAGTTCTGGAGATGGATGGTTGTGATAGTTGTGAATATACTTACACCACTGAACCATTCCCTTAAAAATGGTTAAAGCGGTTTAATGTCACGTGTCATCTATACTCAAATTTTTTAATGGTTAAAATGGTAAATTTTTAAAAATTCTTTATTAAATGGTAAATTTTATATATATTCGCCACAATAAAAAAAATTAGAAAATGGCTCTGAAAAACCGCAAGAACAAGAGGCAGTTAATCTAACCATGAGTAACTATTTGGTTATTTTTAATATAATGACAAGTCTTCAGTCATTCTATTAATATTTGTTTGCTGGCAAGTATAAGCAGCAGCAGAGCAAATGAATATTAAGACAATTTGCCTTTTATATGTCCCCTGATATCAATTGCCCCATTTGCTGAAAAAGTTAAAACAACTGTTAGTGTTCTTGTTATTAAATAAAGAAACATGTGAATTCTTAAAAAGTCAGGACAAAGAACTATAAACATAAATATAATTTAGACATTCAAGAAGTCAACTTGATTTAGAAACTTTTTTAGTTTTGTATGTATACACATACATAAGGGACATTTGCAGTTTAATAAGCAGTATATAATCTATTTAATTTGGGATTAATTTTTTTTTAAGCTGCTGTGCCTTATTGGAGAATCTTTTGATGACTACAGTGATGATGTATGTGGAGCTGTTGTTAATGTTAGAGCTAAAGGTGATAAGATAGCAATATGGACTACTGAATGTGAAAACAGAGAGGCTGTTACACATATAGGGTAAGTTTTGCTGTTTGTACACTTCCTTTAAAATATTAAGATAACTAAAAGCAGAAGTACTGTTATTTATAGCTTTAAAAATAGTTGGATTCGTAGATCATTGTTTTCCTTGTGTTTTCATAAACGCTTTAATAATCTTGAACTACTCTAGTGGTTTTTAGTGTCTTGTTCATATTTTTTTTTAATTTTTGTAAAATTCTTTTTCCTAGCAATGGAGTATATAATCACCAGAACCCTGAATTCTGGTGTGTGGCATTTTGTTCATTTATCAAATGAGAATATTAAGTCTTTTTTCTATTTTAAAACCATAACATAACATGAATATGTAACACCCATAATAGTTCAGTGAGCATTGACAAGTGGTATATGTGTATCCTGTGCATGTTTTGTAATCACTGTACATAACATTTTCAGTGAAATTTAAGTGATAGTATCTTAATTTTGTCCATATTTAAAACCCACATGTATATGTTTTGACACTTTTTTTGGTAAATACTGTTCCTTGCAAAAATTGCCTGTTGTTTTGCCCCCAAAATGTTGTCAGTGTTAACTGGGAATTTCTTTTCACTACATTTAAATTAGTAAAATTTGACTTTAAATTTTGTATTAAAATTATGTATTGGTCATAGGTCACAGAATGTTCGGTTTACCCTTTGTGATTTCTTTTTTTTTTTTTCAAACATTATGAATTCTCCTATGAACATAATTCCTTTCTTTATTAAAAAAAAGTATGGGGATTTTCCAGGTTTCGTTCTACAGAGGTTTTCAGTAAAAGAAGTTGACTGTTAATTTGTCATCACGTTCTTTTTTTTTTTTTTTTTTTTTTTTTTTTTTTTTTTTAATACTTATTTTGAGAGAAAGCATGAGCAGGAGAGGGGAGAGAGAGGGAGAAAGAGAATCTCAAGCAGGCTTTGCCCTGTCCTGTCAGCGCAGAGCCCCATGCATGGCTCGATCCCACGAACTGTGAGATCATGACCTGAGCCGAAATCAAGAGTCAGATGCTTAACTGACTGAGCCCCCCAGTGCCCCAATTTGTCATCATATTCTTAATCTTTCTGTCAGCATCAAAACTTAATAGTTGTGGGGATTTCATGTTGGAAATCAATTAAAAAAATGAGCATGAATTTCTTTCCTGTGAAAATCTTGTATTTGTGTCAATATTAAAAATTATTGAAATCTTTGTAAAACATTTGACTTCAGTTTTTCAAGGGAAGATTATTAATTAATTTATTTATTTTGAGTGAGACCAAGAACACGAGCAGGGAAGGGTCAGGGAGAGAGGGAGAATCCCAAGCAGGCTCCACGTGGTCAGTGTACAGAGTGAGACTGGGGGCTCAAACTCAGGAGCTGCGAGATCATGATGACCTGAGCCGAAATCAAGTCAGTCCTTCACTTAACCTCATGAGCCACTCAGGTGCCCTGGGAGGATTTTTTTTAATTTTTTTTATTTTTTTATTCTTCCAAGTTATATGGCTCAGTGCAGTGCTCTGGCTTTCTGGCATTTTTAATGATTATGTATAATGGAAAAGAACACATTGTTTCATAATATACATCTGATAATAGTTATAATTTTAGTTATCATGAAATTATTTTTAGAACCTTTATTTGAAGGAAGGTAGAATCTTCTGGAAGGTGGTATCCTATTGGAGAATTTAGCTCCATGAAAATATATATCCCTTTCATTTTATTTTGGTGTTTATTTTTGAAGTTTTGCTATTTTTTCTTTAGAATAAATATCTATATTCCTAAATTTACCTGTCATGCTCTCTATGATCTGTCCCCAATTTTACCTTGTCAGCCTTTTTGCTCATATTTTCTTCCTTAAGGACTGTCGCCACACAGCCTTATTTTTGTTCCCCAGCCTTCAGATGTGTTTCATTTTCTCAGCATTTTACTTTTAACCTCGTGACTTTTAAAGGGGAACTTTCTCTAATTTCAAAGATAAGATTAGATAATCTTTGTTAGTATCACAACCCCTATACTTACTCACTTTTGGCACTCATCATAGTTTATTCTTAAAATAGAGTCACATGTTATTTGGAAAGTAGGTTGCAGAGTTAGTATATAAGGCAGAAATCATGTATGTAAATTACCCTCAATGCCATAAAGTAATAAGTATGATAAATGTAATTTGCAGTAGCATACAATATTTATTATGTGTTATATGAAAAATATAATTGTAGCATTTTAGAGAGAATTAAAGTAGACCTATGTAGGCATTAATTTTATATAAATTATGCATGTGATATAGCTCTACCCTATGTATGTGGGATTATTTGTTTATAAATAATCAAATACTATAAACACCCAGGAACTGTCCATACTTTGCTTATTATTGATTTATTAATAATTACAATGCCTGATAACATCCTGATAACACAATAGAATCTCAAATATTGTTTAAGTGATTAGCCAAGATTGTTGTGGAAATGAAGAGTATATTTTGTTGAAAGGAAAAGTGCATGCAATGTCCTGTTTCACTCTCTAGATATTTTTTATATATAAAGAATAATCTGAATTTGGTGTGTGTGAATAAAAATTAACAGCTCCTTTTTTCTTTTGCTTCTTCTAGGAGGGTATACAAAGAAAGGTTAGGACTTCCTCCAAAGATAGTGATTGGTTATCAGTCCCATGCAGACACAGCTACTAAGAGCGGCTCCACCACTAAAAATAGGTTTGTTGTTTAAGAAGACACCTTCTGAGTATTCTCATAGGAGACTGCGTCAAGCAATCGAGATTTGGGAGCTGAACCAAAGCCTCTTCCAAAGCAGAGTGGACTGCATTTAAATTTGATTTCCATCTAAATGTTGCTAAGATATAAGAGAAGTCTCATTCGCCTTTGTCTTGTACTTCTGTGTTCACTTTTTTTTTTTTTTTTTTGGCTAGAGTGTCCATTATCCCAATCAAAGAATTACAGTACACATCATCCCCAGAATCCATGAATGTGTTCCTGGCCCACTCTGTAATAGCTTAGTAGAATTACCATTATAAACACATTTTACCCATCCACAATATTCAAAAAAGAACTTACATTTCTATACCTTAAAGGAAAAAATTCTGTTTATGTTCCATTGTATGCAGGAGCATATTTTGCTGGTTTGAAAGAGTATGATGCATACAGTTTTCTAGCAATTTTCTTTGTTTCTTTTTACAGCATTGTCTTTGCTGTACTCTTGCTGATGGCTGCTAGATTTTAATTTATTTGTTTCCCTACTTGATAACATTAGTGATTCTGATTTCAGTTTTTCATTTGTTTTGCTTTTGTTTTTTTCCTCATGTAACATTGGTGAAGGATCCAGGAATATGACACAAAGGTGGAATAAACATTAATTTTGTGCATTCTTTGGTAATTTTTTTGTTTTTTTGTAACTACAAAGCTTTGCTACAAATTTATGCATTTCATTCAAATCAGTGATCTATGTTTGTGTGATTTCCTAAACATAATTGTGGATTATAAAAAAAAAATGTAACATCATAATTACATTCCTAATTAGAATTAGTATGTTTTTGTATCTTTATGCTGTATTTTAACACTTTGTATTACTTAGGTTGTTTTGCTTTGGTTAAAAAATGGCTCAAGTAGAAAAGCGGTCCCATTCATATTAAGACAGTGTACAAAACTGTAAATAAAATGTGTACAGTGAATTGTCTTTTAGACAACTAGATTTGTCCTTTTATTTCTCCATCTCTATAGAAGGAATTTGTATTTCTTATTGCCAGGCAGTCTCTATTGTGTCTTATAGTGTCTTCCACGTGAACAGCATAAGTTTGGAGCACTAGTTTATTATGTTTATTATAATTTTTAATAAATTGAATAGGTAGCATCATATATATGGAATTAAACTGATGTGACTATCTTTGTTTTTTTATAAAGGAAGGCATAGTCCTTCAGTCATAGGTAAATAATGTACTCTTAATGTATTAAAACACAAGAGAATTGTTATCTTGGTGCATTACCATTTGATTGGTAGGAATGGTAGTTGTAAAACTTGGTTGCTGAATTGAGATGTTCTTTTGTAAGTGTCAAAATGATAGCATAGGGAAAGAGTACAGGTGGTGGGGGCATATACATTAAGAATTTTGTTAGTGTTGCTGTCTAAATAGAATGGAATAAACAGGTACGAAGACTTATATTTATATTGGTAAATTGGTGTAGTACGGTTTTATGTAAATTTGAAACGTGATCTACTCTTTGTAGGCATTTGAAAGCACATTTGAAAAATTTTGTATATAGTTGTGTATTTCAGATGCAGTAAAATGAAATGGCTATTGTAGACAAAAGAATAAGCTAAACTTCTAGATAGAATGAAAATGATTAGATGAGAGGAAAATTTGTGTTTAAATAGTCATTATGAATTAATCATTTAAGAACTGAAAAGTTTGACAAAACATATAAAGTAAGCATAAAATTAATAGTATTGACTTCATTGAAGAATTTTAAAACTTCAGTTTAAAGGGTGCCACAGGCTACCATCTGAGTACTCTCAATACCACAGACACCTCTTGTTCAGTATTCTAGAAACACTGAATCTCTTGTGTTTATAATCTCACTAGACTATAGCTAATATCTGCTGCTTAAGCTTGGGTGCTTGGTTAAATGATTTATTGTCTGTGTTGATATGTGTAGTTGTGAGCACTTCAAGAGCTTGCTTATAAGTGATGGTGGTGTGTTGGCAATGGGTGGGATTGGAGTAGTATATCTATTAGAAATTAATGCTCTAGTTCCTTAATTCTAAGATGCAGTCCATTTGAAGAAGCATCAGCTTTCAGGAGTGGAGGAGGAATAATGCATTAAATGTACACATTTCTGAATTTTAAAAAACCTGGTTTATAACAAGCATTTGATTATCCTTATCATTACCATTTTAGAATCATAATCAGTTTTATTTTAAGTCTTTTCCCAGTGGGTGGGGAGGATGATAAATTACTGAGTCACTTTTGGCAGATGCCACCTAAGTATTACAGTGACTTGCAACTTTTCATAATTTCATTAGCGTCTTTTCTAAATATAAGATTAGACTATATGATTTTTCTAACTTTTTTCTCCCTGTCCAACAGGATATTATAAATAAATATATTTTCATAATAGAGAATTAAAATCTTTTAGCAGAAGAATTGTAATTAATTGTAGGGTGTGACATATTTAACCAATTTAATTGTTAATCCAATTCTACAGAAGGATTTGAGACATACTGTATAAGAATTAAGTAATTACAATACTTATGTAATACTTACTTTGTGCCAGACAGTGTTCTAAGCACTTTACATGCACTTTAACCTGCACAGTAATTATTTGATGTAGGTCCTGTTATCCCTATTTTATAGATGAAACAGAAGCAGTGAGGACGTAAGTCACTGTACAGCTTGTAAATTGCAAAGTGTGGATTTCATTCCAGAGACCCTGTAAATCACATCATACTCTTAATAGTGTAGAGCTTATCTTAAAGTCTGTGGTAAATCACATCAGATTGTAGTCATTTTATAGGCCAGGCCTTTTACTTACATTTTATTTCCTTTGGTAATGAAAACGTAAAATAGACAGTCCCCTTAGGCTCACTCTGTTAGCAATCAACTAAATCATCTGGAGGAGTTTTGAGAATGTGGAGAAAAAGATACAGGAGTTCACAGATACTGTTCAGTTGTATCAGTTAAGTGGATATTTTCATATATAACTTTTAAGTGTCTATATCCTGTTATCTTCTAAAATAAATGGTAAAATAAAGCAAAATTTTCAAGTTGATAGGAGTAAAGGTTCTTAAATACCATAGTTTGCATTTAAAAGGATAATTTTCTAAGGCAGTGTGATAATGCGATGTTTTACATTTTAAAATTAAAACAAGTTAATGACAAGTCTCTGTGCTACTTTTTATCTCTAATTGTTACGGAGTGTCTTCATTATTTAGGAGGGGGAAAAAACAACTGAGTTTTCTCACTCAAGAGTCAGATTCTAGACAAATGCAAGATTTTAGATCAGATTGACATTAAAAAACAAAACACTGGGTCATTGCAATCCAGTGTCTCTGTGCACCAGTTAGAAATTGAGAATGTATAGAAAATTCTACAGCAATTTGATATTGCTGTTGCATTAAAGTTTATCATTTTTCTAGTAGTTTTTGAAAACGTGTTTTACAAAAATGTTTTTGACAGCAATTTAGGCGTTGAAACTGGTCCTTCACATATAATTTGAGAAACACTACTCTTAGGTGGTTTTCCTCAGGAGCCAAGGCCAGCTCATTTGCTCATCCTTCCCTAAAACAACTAGGTTTGTTATTCATCTCCTCACAACTATTGGACTTGGTGTCAAAATTTCATTTCTAAACTGTAGCATCTTTAAATAATACTGTGTGGTATCCTGCTTACTATGAATTCCAAAGTAGGCATTAGGCAGCCTTCCTAGTTACCTTGGGTAGTTTATACTTCAGTGTTCCTGTTGCTATTCCATTGCTAGAAGCAAGAAATGAAATTGCAGGCATGCGATCACATGTGGTACTAGGTTTTTCTTTTTAATTGAGAGGAACCAATTTTCACATTTTAATCTTGTCCTGTTTCTTTTAATTCAGAACTTGTAATTCCTCATAGTTTTGCACAGAGGTTCTGTTCCTACGTTTCCTCTATCCACCAAGATATGTATTGAGTCGTTACATTTGTTGTGTTCCAGGTGAGGGGCCTAACAATAGAAAACAATGAACTAGACTCTGCTTCAAACTTTTAAAAGCAGACATGTCTTAAAAATAAACAGATCTCTCCATAAGGTTCTACAGTTTTTGTTACTGAAATAGAACTCCTAGGGTCTCTGTTACTAGGGATTAGTAGTCTGGAGGTACATAGAAGGTGAGGTGGTTTAACCATGAGTGAACATCACCCTAGGTAGGACTAAACCCTTGCAGGCAAAGAACAGCTTTTGCAAGACTTAATTTTTATATTACTGAAATCTATGCTTGTCCAAGAAAAATTTGGTTCTTTTTTGGTTATGTGATTTTACTTTTTAATAATTACAACTTTCATTTAACATACTGAGTATTGTGAAACATTTTAAATGTGATTGTGTCTACATTGGCATGGTTGTATAGATCCTCTAGCCACCTTCCCAGAATACCTAAAGTGTTTTTTCCTTTCACGTTTGACCAAACAATGCATGCTTATTGTATTTTGACTACAGAAAGGTAGAAGGTGAAAATTTCCTTTCTTGTTCAAACCCACTCTTTTTTCTCTCTTTTCTCAAATTACTAGTAAATGTCTAAATTTCTGTGCACACACCAGACACATGTGTGTGCACATGTGTGTAACTTTTCTTTGGACACAGATCATTTTGGTAGCATTTTCTCATTTAAGAATTCTGGACATTTTTACCTTGAATTGCACATATAGAACATTGTTTTTATTCTTTGTCTAGTGATCCATTGTGTGAATGTATGCCTTATTGGAGGACTGCCTGCCTGCTTTCCTTCCTTGTAATTTTTGCCTTTATAGTCCCCACTGTAAATTGTCTTATCTTTGTATACTGTGTTTTTTTGCTGTGTGTAAAGAAAACAGTTTTCTGTTCTTTAGCTAAGTGGCACTTACTCTTCTTTCCCTCTTCCACACCAGACTGTTTGAAACTACATACATGAATTATCATCAGTTTTGTAATTGTGTCCTGTAGTGCTTCTTTGCAAGTTTTCAGTTTTGGTCCTCATGATATCTTTCTGATTCGTTTTTAATTGCATTACTTTCGTCTAATGAGCCAACATTGTTATAATTACAAGTAGTTTTTCCCAAAGACAAGCAATAAGCTAGTAATTCTATTTTAGACCTGTAAACGTTGAAAGAGCTTGAATCAAATACATTGATACTGGACCCTGTTTTATTTTTAAGCAGTGTAATGAATTTAACTCCATAATTTTTAAAATGAGAGCATTTCCCAAACACATCTATATATTTTTATAACCTTTTCCCCTCGGCATTTGGTTTTGTTTTTAAGGGCTTTTTTTTTCCCTTTATATTTGTTTTCAATCTTTGACTCTGTTTTAAGTACATGGTTTCCGTGAAATGCCTGTGTGTTTTGTTTTGGTACAGGATACACTATAAAATACATGAGGCATAAGATATTTTTCCAACTTGACCCTGCTCTGCGTTGTCTCATGTCAAGGCATTAAGTGTATTACACACACATTTGGGGCTTTTTCTGTGTTCTGGCACTGCCTTTCAGATAATGACTATGGTTAAATACTGCAGTGTCCTGTGCTTTTTCAAGCATAAGGAATCTGTAATTGAGCCAGAATGACCTTTAAGGGAATCACGAGTTTTCATTTCACATGCTTTTTCTACTTTCAGGAAACCACTAATTATTGACCTCCTCATGCTTTTTTTAAAGTGCTGCTCTTTATAAAGTTTCTGTCTATAAATATTAATGCGTTCCATTTCTTCTTAGGTTATCCATTCTGTCACTTTATTTGTGACAGTGACTTCAAGTATTTGTCCTTAGGTATAACCTTCCTCTTGTGCTTCAGATCTGTGTCTCCCTGCCTACTGGACCTCTTATGTTGGGGTCAGCAAACTACAACTCCTAGGCTATATTTGGTCTGCATTCTGTTTTGTAAATAAAGTTTTATTAAAACATAGCCTCATCCATTTGTTGATGTATGTCTGTGGCTGTTTTTGTGCTACAATGGCGGAGTTGG